ACCACAAAATTTCTTTTTTTGTATTTTTCTTGCATTTTCTGTTACATTTGATATCAAAATTTGGGTATACAAATTTGGGTTTTGATATCAAAATTGAGTATAGTGAGCTTGTAAACCTCGTAGAGAAATCATTACCACTCCAATTTTTTTTTGTCACCAACTCAAAACTTTTCCATTTCTTGGTTAAGTGCTCCATACTGTAATACAATATGGAATCTTTTTATCAAAAAGAAAGAAAAATAAAAGTTATTCTCAAAGTTGATGATTGCTTTTCTCAAAGGTCAATGTTGGTTGCCTTACAACAGATGGAAGCCCTTTTAGAATTAGCTAGGCTTGTGTATTGGTATAAATATAACAATGATTTTGTGTTATATTCGTTTTAATTAATTAAAATTTTCATAATTTATTATACTCAAACAAGTTGTTTAATTTTTATTTTGAAATAAATAAATTTTTTAATTTAATAGAAATGTAATTTTGTTAGATTTAATATTAATTTTTTTTACTTATGTGACATATGTAAATATGATCACATGACAAAATTAAAATCTAAAATCATCGATTATCTACAATCGGTTGACATCAAAATCACCAAAAAAAAATTATTTGTCAATTCAAAATTATTTCTATTTCTTCCAAATTTCAACAAAATTGAAGATATGGGATTTTTAGATTTTTCAATTTTCTTGAGATTTGAAGACAAGTTTTTTCAAAAAGTACTCTAATTAAATGAAAAAGGAAAAGAAAAGCAGTCAAAAACTTTTTTTGTTGTACTTTCGACGTCAACCCAACCAATAATAAATGAAGACAAGGTTAAGTTTATGTGTAAAATTGATTTTTTTTTTGTTTCACTTTTTCAGTTTTTGTGGGTTGACCTTTCCAACTTGTCCTAAAACTTTAATGGCAGGTTCACGAGTTGTGGTTTCTCTTTTCTGCATTTGTAGGCTTCTTTAGATATTTGAAAAGATGTTATGCCAATGTAGAGACTGCTGCCTGATGGACGCATGACAGTGATTGTAACCCTTTTTGTTTGTGGAAATTTTGCCCATTTAAATTTTCTAGGATCAAAAATCAAGCAAAATTCCAAAACGGACGTGATATAGGAGTACCAGAATTCTAATGATTTCAATTTTTTTGCAATTTCTGTCACATAATTGGTTTGGATATCCAATTGGAGTATAGTGAGCTTGAAATCATTACCACTCTTAATTCTTTATAAAGTGCCTCATATGGAAAAATAATAAGTAATCTTTTAGCAAAAGCATGAAAGAAAAAAGAAGGCATTCCCAAAGTGATGATTGCAATTCCCAAGGTCAAATGTCAGTTGCCTGACATCAGATCGAGTCCTTTTAGAACTAGGCTCGTGTGTTTCTAGAGGAGAAACAGCGAGGTGCGCTAACATTTATTGTTTTGGTTGATGAGATATGGTTGGGCCAGGCTTAGGTTCACATTTACAAGAACTCGGCTGTTTGGTGAGAAGGTCTTAGTTATCTTAGCCCAGACGAAACTTGGACCGGAATTGCTGAGGCAGGACCGATAGAACCGACAAATTCCTTAGACATTCGAGCCAAACCTGAATTTCGGTGGAACGACATCATGGATAATGGATTGGAGTAGTTTGTTTGTTTTAAGGATTTTCCTTTGCCAGCTTTGTTTTTGGTAAGGATTTCGTTGTCGTCATTTCATCATTGTCTTTGTGTTCCTATGAACGGTGCAAGCAAATCCACTGGCTTTTAGCCTTAAAGCAAATCCAAAAGGGCACAATGCTGAAGGAAAAAAACCACTATAAATTGAACCGAACGTTGTTAGTCATGGTTTTGCGGATAAGGAACAATTTGTGTGAAATAAGGTAATCCTAAAATATTATAACCAATTTAGCATGAACAATTTGCTCACAATGTTGGTGGCCACAATTCATGAATGATGAACCCTAGTTACTATCGTAAATATCCATGAACAAATTATTAAGTCAAAAATATTTCATTAAACTCACATATGTAATTATAAAAGGAAATAAGGATTAATTATAGATTCATTGGAAAAAGTTAGAAGACCGTATAAAAAGGATAAAGAAATATTCTTCCTTGAAAAACAAGACTTTTGTTTTATCTTGTATAAGAACAAACCCAACCAATTAGCCGAGGCAAGGAAAAAATAAAACTGTTAAAATCCTAAAAAAAGGGGTTATTACAAGGCATCTATGATCAAACGAAACAAAAGGCCGAACCAGTGTCAAAGGTAATCCCGAACTTCCCCAATCCAATCCAACCTCTTCGCTATTCTCATGGAATCCAACTCCTTCGCAGCACGAGCCCAAAACCCGAAAGCAACTGTCCTTCAACCCCAACACGTGTTCTTTTCCCATTGGCGAGCCTTTCCCTCATACCTAAGCAAGCTTTGCAAAATCCCGAAAATACCCTCATGACTGTTAGTTTTGAACTTTGGAGCGCAGCAACGAATGCTCCCTATAAATAATGCACCTTCCTTGCCCCTCTTTTCTTCAACTCTCAATTTTAAAAGGAAGATGGATCATCGCATTGTATTTTCTCTCTTTGTTATTTGCTCTTTATGCTTCGTTTGCGTGATTTCTACGGCGACTTTCTCGGCCGAGGGATCGGAAGTTGATCCGTTCATCAGGCAAGTAACGGACGGCCACGATGGAGCCGAGCCACAGCTCCTGACCGCCGAACATCACTTCTCGCTATTCAAGAGTCGGTTCAAGAAATCGTACGGGTCGCAGGAGGAGCACGATTACAGGTTCAAGGTTTTTCAGGATAACCTGAGACGTGCGGCGCGTCATCAGAAGCTTGACCCGTCTGCGAGTCACGGGGTGACTCAGTTCTCTGATTTGACTCCGAGAGAGTTCAGGAGGACGTACTTGGGGTTAAGGAGATTGAGACTGCCTAAAGATGCGACCGAGGCACCGATTTTGCCTACCGATAATTTGCCTGAAGATTTTGATTGGAGAGAAAATGGAGCTGTTACACCCGTCAAAAATCAGGTTTTTTTTTGTTAAATTGACCTTTGTAAATTTTGCTTCTTCTTTCCTTAATGAATTGCGTTAATTTCTTTTGTTTGTTGACTAGGGTTCATGCGGATCATGCTGGTCATTTAGTACAACAGGAGCCTTGGAAGGTGCCAACTTTTTGGCAACTGGGAAACTCGTAAGCCTTAGCGAGCAGCAGCTTGTGGATTGTGATCATGAGGTTCGATCATTTACCTCTTTCTTTCTTTTCTTTTTTTTTGTTTTTCAATGTTTTAATCTGTATTAATGCGTAGGTTTATGGTTTCAGCTGGCAAATGCTAATTGTAATTAATTTCATTTTAATCTTAGCTTGCTGCTATCACTTGTATGAGTATTAGATCTTTAATTTATACTAATGGGTATGTATATTTTAAGGTGCTAGTTGATGATGATTGGTAAAACTGCCTTGTAGGTTTCGATTGAATTCGAACCTTTTTTGTTAATTATTATTTCTTTTTTTTGTTTAATATGATCATAATATAGATATTGTTTATACTCGAGGAAGTCGTAAGAAAAATAATTGATGAATTTTTGAAGCTAATCAGTAGTTAAGCTTATGAGGTAATTGTGGCAATACTAATTGATGAATCCAATGATTAGGAAAGTGTGAACACTCAAGGGTGGGCCATTTCATATACCCTTTTTCTAAGTCGAGCTTTGAATAATTTCTTTGCAGTGTGATCCGGAGGAACCAGGTTCTTGTGATTCTGGATGCAATGGTGGGCTCATGAATAGTGCTTTTGAGTATACTCTCAAAGCTGGTGGTCTTATGCGTGAGGAGGACTACCCCTACACTGGCACTGACCGTGGGACCTGTAAATTTGACGAGAGCAAGATTGCAGCGAAAGTGGCCAACTTCAGTGTTGTTTCTCTTGATGAGGACCAAATTGCTGCTAATCTTGTGAAGAATGGTCCTCTTGCAGGTAAAATGAATATAGACTCATAACTTTATGTTTAAATTTTTTCTGCATAACATGTGACAACGATGATGATTAATGGTTTTCATTATTCCCAACTGTTTGTTGTTTTCATTTGAATGCAGTGGCTATCAATGCAGTGTTCATGCAGACATATATTAAGGGAGTTTCTTGCCCTTACATTTGCTCAAAGCGCCTTGATCATGGAGTACTGTTGGTGGGGTATGGTTCAGCTGGCTATGCTCCAGTCCGCATGAAGGATAAACCATACTGGATCATTAAGAACTCATGGGGAGAAAACTGGGGGGAGGATGGATTCTACAAAATCTGCAGGGGTCGCAATGTTTGTGGAGTAGACTCCATGGTATCGACAGTTGCTGCTGTTAATACGAACTCTCAGTAGGGTGTGTAACATCATTGTTGTTGTTCATTAAACACCAGTTGTTTGTATATACCATGTTACAATTATTCGGGAACTCCGATGTTTGCATAAGCTTTAAATTTCTCGTGTTTCTGAATGGGTTAAACAGCTAAAGTGTTTTTTAAGTGCAAAGGTTTTCTTTATTTATCCTTTTAGTGCAATTTTAATTTATTTTATTTAAATTTTATTCTTTAAACAGGAAAATAATGCACTAATTAATTAATCAAATATTTAAATGTTTTTATTTGAATTTTATTTTTTAAACAAGAAGATAATATATTAATTAATAAATCAAATACTCGTGCTTTTGTTATATTTTCATAGTGTGTTCTTGTCCTTTAATCTACCTTTAATTTTTATCATGGAAATGAGTTACAAACGTTTCTTGACAAGTTGGTTGATTAGAACTGCTACCAGTTTACAAAAAAACTCATGAATTACAGACTTAAAACACTGCACTTCTATTCAACAAGCCACAGGGTGATTATAAGCGGAAACAGCAACAAAGATAACACGTAGATTTAGATTATACTATCAACTTAATCTAAATTATGGAAAACTTTGAGGAAAGATTGTAATCCTCGTCACACAGGAATCAATGCCTTATGAAGACAACCAAAGCAACCAAACAACCGTAAGCTCTTGAACTAATTTTTTTTTTCTTTTTATTTCATGAAAATAGAAAAATAAATTAAATTAAGTATTATTACCTGACTACTACCAACATACAAAGATACCAACCCAACCAGCAGGCCACTTATTCCTTCCAATACCAAACAAACACCAATTGGAAGGTCAAGAAGCAGCGTGCTCAGGCTGTAGAAAGCTTTCTCAACTCTCCTTACAGGGTGCATCTGAATGGGCTTCTTATCATGTTCAAATGAAAAAATCAACATAACTTCATACCTATCCACACTCAACTCCCATGACATTATTGATTCATTCAAGCGCTTCAATCATCTTCATCACCGAATAACGCAAATGAAAATGGATAGAACTTGTAACCATCTCCCTCGTAGAATTTGTTCTGGAATTCAACCCAGTGAAGTCGCAAAGCATGTAGGAAAGCACTAAGGGTTTCCATAACTAGCAACACACCAACAGTAGCAAAAATAAAGATGATGATGCCAACGATGAGGATGATTATATTGTTAAACCTGTAGCAAGCAAAATGCACAACATCATCATGCATATCCACATGCCCATGAAGTATAGATTTATAAACTCAGAGAACTCACTGAACGTAAAAGAATAAGAATTAAGGAGTCACAAAAGCAATATCATAAGATATAGAGTGCCTAGATCTGTTTTGCTCGGCTTGTTGAGCACATAAAGGTATAGATAATGTGCAAGACGTACCCCCAAGCAAGGAGAAGAACCTTCTCGTAGAACACAACAGACAACTCTGAATGAGCAAGACTGCATAAAGAAAAGAACAAACAGGGTGCAATTTGCAGTTAGGCTTTGCTAAGATCAGATAACATTCATATAAAAGAACACAAAGAACATATGAAGAATGTGTAAATGACTAAAGCCTATCCTGTGGAAAATATGTTAGAAGGTACAAAGCATTCCTCTATGAAGATCAGATACATATGTCAAAGAACACTCTGCCTGTGAGCACTATGCAGAAAAGAAAACTATTTCCTCATGGTTATTGCAACAAGTTTATACAATCACATGGGCTGTGCATGCACAAAACGAGGTTCATCAAAGACTTTATCTTTCTGAAACTCAAACCAAAAGTAAATTTGGAGATGGTGTTATTTCAACCAAAACACAGTGGAAAGTAAGCATAAATTTAAATTACTAATGACATACCTGAGGGCCCATAATCGAAGGTATGAGGCTGTATTTGAAACTGCACCAAGCACAAACTCTATGGTATGTATGAGTTGATGCACAAAGACTTCACTAAACTCAAATTCCTCGTGACCATGACCATGGGAATCATGATTTGCCTCTGAATGGAGAGTGTCATCTGTGCTTTCAAGTGGTGCATATGATTGGCCTTGATGCCGCTAATCAAAAGGCATGCATAATAAGTGATGGAAAGAGGATGAAAATAATGCTTAAAACATGCTTAGCAAGAATTTTGGAGAGCAGGATAACCTACATTTTCATGTTGTTTCTTTAGAAGAAAAGGCTTTGGTAATAGCATCCATGGCACAGAAACCAGGGCAAGTAATAATAGCACAAGCTGGAAAGAAATGCACAAGACAATAAGTTGGATGTACATTCCTCCAATGAAAGGTACTAAAATTAAACATAACCGAAAAAAGAAAGAGAAACTACCTGAACTGTTTTTTGGCCAGGAAAGAGCTGATTTTCTCCCAATTCATCAGTAGGACTCAGGAACATGTAAATCATTACGTGGTACAAATCAGCTTGTGAACCAGTGCACCATTTCACAATAATAAGGAGTGATAGATAGCCAAATAGGCTGTTCAAAAATATCATCTGGGGAATAAATTGAAACCTGGAGAATATGCATGAGCAAATGCCACCTTTCAATTAGCAATCAAATTAAAAACTCAGGAATAACTGAGCAAGCTAAGATCTTGGTCGGCATATCAAACTTACCAAATGTTCAGACTATGACCAAAGAATGTTCCATTGAAATAACTCAAAATAATTCCAAGGTTCATCTGAGCCACCCCAAGAAGGATTGACATTTTCATCTTCAGAGAGTTCAGGAATGGCAGCTCACTACGGGTACCATGCCATGCAGGATCCACCCCAAATGGGTAAGTTTCGCGCACCTTAATCAAACCAACAGTAGAAGCATCCCTGAAAAAAGGCAGTCAAAATGCTGTAATGGAAGTATACCGTAATAGGAAGCTTATACAATATTTGGTATTATCACCAAGTCTCAGTGAAATACCAGCAAGAGAGATCACGACAAGCATAAGCTGAGCGACCAAATAACTCAAAGGGCACAGAGAAGAACTCATTATAGATCAAACCAGTATAAATTGAGAAGAGTGCCATCATCATAATAACATAACGACCGCCAAAGGTCATTTCAGTGATATCTCCAAGCTTCTGCAGTTCCCAAGAAATATAATTTACTTAGGTTCCATCCATAGAGATAACTGACCAATACAGATAAAGCTTAAAAACAGGGAAAACTAGCAGGTACTAATACTTTGCAAAATAACCCATCAAATCAAAAGCCCAGACAAGGTAAGGTCATGTTACCAAAAATTCCATGATGTGATATTGTTCATAATACACATAAATGAGACCCCTATCAAACTTTGCTCTTCAGAGAAAAAGCTAAAAAGTCTTTGTAATATAATCCCATGTCACGTCTATAAACCACTTCATTAAAAAAAATATTTAAAAGATTGTGAACAATTTGCTATCCCAATTAAAACATCAATGAATCTTATTCCTTCAGCAGTTTAATAACTGATGAGACCTACAGAGAAGTAGCACTATACACAGCAAGTGAAAAGGAAGCTAGATAGATACCGAAGTCTGACACAAATCAAAACATCAATAAGACAAATGGATGTATTTTTTGAGAAATAATTATCCTTAAGAGGTATGGATAAAATAGCATAAGGTTATAACTTAAATAAAAAACAAATTGAGAAAAAAACCCAATGCAAGAATAAATATGTCCTCAAACTGTTTTCATACCAGCATAGAGGCTGTAAAAGTTGAAAACCTGATTACATCATCACAAGAAATTACCTGACTAGAAAGTTTCTTTTCCCGGACAATAAAATATAATGTTGCAAGTAACAAGCATATTCCATGCCCCCAATCACCAAACATGACGGCAAAAAGGAAAGGGAATGTAATAATAGTGTATACACCAGGATTTGCTTCCTGATACTTTGCCACCCTGCAATTAAATGCAACAAAAAGCATTACAATTCTGTTTGTTACTGGCAAATTAACACATGAACATTGATGCAAAAAAAACAGACAATATACATACTCCAAAATAAAACACCAAAGCACGAATCCAATAACAAGGTGAATTTACCACTAGAATATGAAAAACTGAATAGACAACAAGAATATAAAAATGTACAAATATAGGTCAAAATAACACAAAAAAATACTGAACAATCTTTTCTTTGAGTTCAATAGTAACCTTAAATAATTTTTCAGGATCTTTATGAATGAATTAGGAATAGCTCTTCTACCATGATTATCTATTTTCTGACCCTATGCAGCTTGGCAGTCAATAATTCATTAATCTAGCCATTAAATTATCACCCTAATATCAACAGGCTGTATCATAGATCTTATCCCTTCCAAAAATTGTTGCATTGAAATAAAGTGGAAAGCAACAGATAGAATGTCTGCTTCTAATTCCCTAGTCTGAAGGAGGTGAATACTCGTATTTAATCAAATATATTATGCTATATAAGCAGATGCTCAAAAGGCCACATAATAATGCACCAAATTAAAAAGCATGTGCATGTTATAAAGTATATATAGCAATTAGGTTATACACACACACCCAAACACATATCTCAGAACACATGGGTGTCAATTTTATTGTGAACTTACCCATAAGCATCAACAATTTCCTGAAAAGCAGAAGTAAATTTATTTGTGCGGAAGTAGGTAGGTGGTGACTCTCTTGTACGCAAGACCTGGAAAATGGTGCCAACTTGAGAGTTGGAATCAAATGCAGCCCGCTGCAATGCCTCCTGAATCTGCACCAAAAATGCTCAAACTCATACATAAATAATCTACTACAACATTTCTCTAATAGATCATAGAGGCCAACCATAATTTCAGAAAGATCAGGATGACACCAATTAAAATTTTCAAACAAGGACAAAAAGAACACCTGTGAAATGTAAAGCACAAAGGACAGAAAATTAATACCTGTTTTGTGGCAAAAACAGGGCTCCATCCCTCAGCCACAAGACACTTCTTTGTCACATCAAGACTAAGCATATTTAGAGTGTGATAGATTGATTTCTCTTTCTTCACCTTCAGGAGTTAAAGAAAATATAGTTTACTCACTGAACTAAATTCAAATAATTAAAACATCAGTTTATGACTGCAACAGTGCATTAGCATCTCAATGCATCTCATGTGCAAGAGGTAAAATATAAGCAAATGTTACATAATTTATGAAAATATGAGAAAAGATAATCAAGAAGTAATATAATTAAAACAGACCTTAAGGTTCCATTGCTCAAACTGGTCTCCAATAGTCCGCAACAAATTGTCCCGGTGAAGCGATCCAGCATCTATGGTAGTTTTCAGCTCAGTAATTCTTCCTGAAACCTGAAATTTATAGTGATCAAAGAGATCAGTCAAACAAAAACACATGGTCTGTGAAACAAAAGATCTACATGCAAATTCAGACAAAATTAAAAGGGAATTGGAAGGCCAGGAATGACATTGAGGAACAAGCATATGATGCTAAGAAACACCAACAAACAGCCAAGTATCAGTCTGAGAAACCATTAAGAAAGAACGTCGAAATGACAGTTTCAAGAAAAAAATTAATCCATACCTCTGTTATCATCAAAGCCTGTTTACCTAGGTCCTCAGCAAAAGGATAACGATTAGCCCCAAAAGCTTCACATATCTTGAGAATTTTGTTCTTTGCTCTTTCTCCAGAGTAGAAAACCACAAATACATTTTTCTCCATCTACACATTGACATTCACAAATCAAAGACAGCACAAAAACTTAGTACAAGATTAGACAACAATAATCTTCTCTTCATAAGTCCAAAATTCAGAAAACTACACCAGCTAAACAACATACAAAAGCATGACCTGAGTGGATTACAAAATATATCCTACACCCAGAGTGGTATTCCTCATCAAGCTACAAAATTAGACCAATTTTAACATTCCAGCTCCACGAAGAGTCTGCTATTTGCATACATTCACATGTCCATGAACATACACACACATGCAAAATAATCTTTGTTTGGCACTCTTTCAGAATATGAAGTCCAAGGTGTTCAAATAAATGGTGAATTGTCTGCACAGCACATGATGAAGACCATGCATGTCTGATAACATAAACATAATAAAATTCTTTGATGCACATGTCTGTGTGTATCCATCTGCATTTTGTGATCCAATTAATGTGCAGTAAACACTACTTCAAATATATCATGCGTGCCACAGTTAAATTAAGTTCTCATCCCTCTTCTTTACCAAAATATTCAAACAATTGAAGCAAAACTGCAAAAACAACTATCACCTTCTCTCTGGAGACAGGATCTGTGACGGGGTCCTCCACAGGAACCTGCTTGAGGAACACATTGCCCCTAGTTGCACGAAATAAAATCCTCTCAAACGCCATAGATTTTTCCCTAGGAACAAGGCCAGTGATGAACCCCAGCTTCACTTGCTTTGATAAATCAATTGTGGTTTCCTACAAAATAGATAGGAGATTTTTATGAGTAAAGGTATGACATGCTGGATAATACAGCAGACTGAAAGAAAGATGGTGCTATACTTGGTCTTGTAATAAAGGAGTTTCGATGGATTCTTCACCCGTTTGACGTGATTCCATTTCTCTCTGCTGAGCTGCAGCACTGTGTTGAGCTGAAGCAAAAAACTCACCAGCCTAAACAGAACAAAGAAAAAAAAAAGAACTTTATGCAATCACTATAATGATAAAGTATAACAAGCTGGAAGGAAATGACACTTTGAAAATAGATATCCACCTGATTTTAGAGAGAGTGACAAAATTTAAAATGAAATACTTGGCATGCAAATGAGAGCAAATTGATATTTGAATTCAACTCCACTAAGAATATTTTCTAAAACAATAACATAATACGATATAAAACTCCGTTATTTAATTAAATCTTTATCTGATTGAACATGCAATAACAGTGTCTATCCAATTGATAGCTCAGTGTTTCAAATCCAAAATGTTTTACGCCAACAAACATATAGTCTTTCACTGCAAGAATTAGCAACTTTAATGTCCATCTTTCATGTTACCGTTTCCATGATGTAAAAGTATCAGTAGGAACTACGATGAGAACCATGATTAGGGCAGCAAACAAAGCCATACCTTTTCCAAAACAAGCTTATACTCAACCAGCTCATTATAACTGCGCTGCAATTTTTCACCATTTGCATTCATTTCAATCAGCTCTGCCTCAAGCTCTCCAAGTTTCACCTAGAACATAACAGAGAAAAAAACAATTTGAATTAAAGAATAATATAAAGAAAGCATTTCTTGGCAACAGATGATGTACCTCTAAGTCATCCACATCGATGGCCCCTTGTGCCTCAGATTTTGTGGGAGGGGAGAAGCCTGCTTTTAGCATTTGCTCCTTGAAAAAACGCAACTTGCGTGCCATCTCTCCACATTTTTTTATCTTCATGAGAAAGAGATGTTAAGAAACAATGACTCACCACCAGAATTTGAAAAATACTAAATGGCATATTTATGGCAACCAAAACATAACATCATAAAAATTTTTCAAGTAGCTCATAAGAATAGTCACAAGTGCAAGATATAATACTTCCCTTACAACAGAACGACAGTAAGGTTGGCTGTTTCAAACCCAACATTTATCTTTCTAGATCCTAATATCAGTTGAACTCTTCTCATACTTGCTTAAATAAAAGCATGTGCTATAAAGTGCATGCAATGAATCAGAAACCAACTTTTTGGTTAAGGGATGTAGTATTATTATCATCAACATTTTACAGCCAGTGATAGTTCTATTTTACTACTATATAATCTCCGAGTGTATATTTCACTTTCCAGAGTGATATAAGATGTGGAGCAGAAAAAGTAGAAGAAGAAGAAAGAAGAATGAACAGCAACTCGGCCTGTTTTAAATGTGAATATATCAATGTCACTATTCATAAAGCAGAAAAGAAAATACCTGAGCAGCATAAGTTCGCTGAAATGGACTCTTCTCTGAATTGAGCTGCAATACATCAAACAAATCAAGAACATCAGTGTCAAATCTCCACCAATTGGTCCATCAAATCACCAAGAAATGTTTTACTTTTTCAAAAAAAAAAGAACAAGAAATAAATTGATGGGTAAAACCAAAAACCTAGCAAACTGTTCATCAAAAGGAACTAAACAAAAACCAAAAACCGATCTCTACTTCAAAGAATTCCCGGCACATAGTTCCAGTCTAGGGTATTCCTAAACTACGATCAAGACTCAAGCGTCGAAATTAAAGTCAAAATCCTGAAGTGGAACAAAGCGAGAGAACAAATTTCGATAGAATTTGAGCATCGAAGAGTAGCATTACGAAGTGTTAACGAGTAAGAGAGTGTACGGACGTCTTTGAATTGGAGGAGGCCGAGGTCCCCGAGATAAGCGACGGTGCGGTGAGCGGACTCGATGGGGATGATGAGCTGGACCAACTGCATCGACTCCGAACGGAACAGATCCATCGGCGGGCAGCATCCTCCACGGACGTCTCCCATTGAATCCTGACCGTTCGATTCTATTAATTTTCCTTCACAAGAAAGCAGGCCGAGATCGATCTCTCGAGTGTTTTCCCTTTTTTTTTTCCCTTTTCGAAGTCCAATTAATCAGCACGTACAAAAAAACAAAAATGCACGGTCAGGGGAACGAGAGAAAGGAAACTGGGGGAGAGAGTTGTAGATTGTCTAGTGATTTCGTCTTCTACTTCCTGACCGCCACAAGCTTCCACGTAAGCCTTTTCTTTTTTTACCGTCAGAGTTATCTCATGATAATTACCTTTTTTGTCTTTTTTTTTTTTTAAAAAAAAGGGCTTGAAATCATAATATTCCTGCGTGTCGTGCATAACATATTTTTTTCTTTCTTTAAATTACAATCTTAGATCTTGGATGGTTATGTTTTAAAAATATTTTTTATTAGTCTTGCACATGTTCTTCTATATAAAATCAATATTTCGGTAAGTTTATTGTTAACATGATAAATATCTTTGATATATGGTGTTGAAATTTTGTTTTTTTCCTTTGTTAGCACCTACTTGCTAAAACCCTTAACGTGTTTGAATTTTTTTTGGTTTTAATTAATTAAAAGCTTCCAAGTTTACTTCTTCGAGTGAGTTTTAAATTTTATTTTTTGAAAAATATGATATTTGACCAATAAAATAAATTTTTTTTAGTGATTTTTACATTTTCGTAAAGAGGAATATAACTTTTTTTTTCAGCTGGAATAATTTGCAAATTTAATAAAATAATCTGATAATGTTTCACTCTATAATAGTAATTCTATTTTTGGATGGCAAGGATATACCTACCCAGCCTATTGAGATGCTACTTTGGGTAAGCCATAAAGCAGTCAAATAATTAAATAATCTTTACATCTTTGCAATAGGTACCAGAGTTTGGACCGTTTGGTTGGCCTCTAAAGCCAACATAGTTGAAGCTATGGTCGGAACATGGAAATGGATCCGTACGAGAAAATGTTACTGGTCTGTAATTAATTTTTTACCGCGACTTAAAGGAAAAACCGCCTAATCATACTTTGATATTTTACTAATCCAACAACGCTAGTAGAGTAGATTAGATAAGCTGATAAACGACAACGTAGCCGGTTGCCTCGGTTGAACCCAAATCCTGGATTAGGTTCACCTGCTCTTACTTGTCCAACTATTACATCATTCATTCTTTCAGATCCTCAAACCTTTTAACTTTCGCTGTTATAGTCCTCACTTTGCGTAAAACATTTACCATTAACCATTTACCGTTGAATGTGCATCCAAAGAAGAAAAACAATACAAAATTGGTCCTGGATCAGGTTTGCACCACTTAATTTTATCGTTTAATTCAAGAAAACAACATTAATTTTAACATTATAAAAAAAAAAAAGGAAGACATGAAAGTATGAATTCTGTTTTTTCTAGCACTAGTTAAAGATATAATACACGTCACAATCAACACCTTAATGACATACCTACCTATGAGGCTAACATTCAAGCATGAAGGTCAAGGTAATCCACAGCCTGAATGATCCCCCGACTAAATGCTTTGCAGGGCATCTCGCAAGGCCGCAGTTTTCAGTGAGCACGTTAGCTGGCTATTTGTTTTGAACCAATAAGATTGATTTGGATTCATATCCCCTTTACACTGTCACCATGAAGAGCAGCAACTCATATTCATATTCTCTTTACACTGTCACCATGAAGAACAACAAATCCCTCGCTGGCTAGAGTTGAAACTGCGTTTCTTAGCTGAATTCACCAAAAAAGACAACAAAAAAGACTCAATCATCAGTTTGATTATTCTCTAAAGAGTCCAAGGAAGAAAGAGGCTGTAGATTCTCACATCATGGAGGTGAATTTCATTGCCAGAGCTCTGCTTCTTCAGTTCATCCAGTAACTGTAGAAAGTAAACAAGCACAGTGATCAATTAGCTGATTTATGGGACTAAACGAAAGCATCCAGGTCTAAAGTCTACTACACCAGCTTACCTCTAACAATCGTACTGATGGTCCCCCAAGTTGTACCTTCTCCATTATTATGTTGCGAGTAGCTGATAAGACATTCTCCCTCCTCATCCTTTCACTTGCAGAAACTCCAGTGGTGATAAGATCCATATCGATAGTTCCTTTAGAAAGACAGGAAATAAAGGAAAGCAATAGAAGCATTCATGAGATATTGTTCTTATAGGGAAAACAGTGAATTGGGAATGGAGCAGAATTGCGGCTGGAATATTACCGGTAGAGTGATCAGTTGCTGATTGCTGCATAGCAACTTCCAAAAGTCTAAATGCCTCAGTTACATCTCTCATTTCAACCTACAAATATCATAACGAAATTTCATTATTCTGTTCACAAAGAAAGCATATAAGCTGCTAAGATAAACGTTAGCTAACTAACCCATTCTGAGAAGCGAATACGAGCCAAGGCTTCACTGAGGCGTATCAGACTCTCAATTTGCCTTGGTGTTGCTGTTATGACCTGTTGACATAACAAAATGCAGAAAGAGGAGGAGCAAAAACAAGTTAGGAAGTAGGGTATAAATCATAGCTGATCCAATCATCAAGATTTTGATTGCAATATAAAGTTGCATCTGTCTAACCATCAATGATTATATAGCAAAGGTCAATAATGAAGAAAAGAAGAGTAGCGGAGAGGAAAACCAAATGCATCATACTTTTTTACTACTTCCAGGGAAATTTCCTCTTTTCCTCATATCAACATATCCTCGGGTTAACTCTTCAGCAGCTTCATCAGACAATTTTGGGTGAATATTCTTGCGAGCATAGCTCACATATGCTGTTAATGTAGCAAGATCTAAGACATCCTGCTCAGCAATCTGCAAATTGTGGCAAGAAATTATACATGTAAACAGAGACCAGAGAAAAAGTTCCTAAACATGATAGAGAGTAAGAGTTCACCAAACCTCTGTGTCCTCAAAATGTAAAGAAACAATGTGCTTAGCAAGGTGTCTGTCTGTTTGTTCATCAGCCTTGTCAAGAATCAAGTAGATTAAATCAAATCTGAGAAGGGAATACCAATTAGAATGGGATTGTAGTTAATAATAACCACATAATAAGGATTAAGTACTTTCAAGCAATATAATACATAATTCTAGACATTGCCAAAACATAGTAGCTGTAACTGACAAACATGGTTTAAAGAAGGAACCGCAAAAGACCATGGAAGATAACACCTTCAAAAATTGAAATTTGGTATCATTTTAACGTTCCAAATCAAAAAGGAAAAAAAGCCAGGCAATGATTATATGGTAGTATCAAAGACCTTAGAACTAGCTCAAACTTCAACTTGCATAGCACTTGGCAATTGATAGGTATCATCTTACCTGGACAACAAGGTTGGTGGCAGGTGTATGTTATCAATCACAGACAAACGTGGATTATAGCGTGAACCGCTAGGATTTGCACAAGCCAAGACTGAAGTCCTAGCATTAAGAGAGGCAATTATACCAGCCTTTGCTATTGAAACAGTTTGTTGTTCCATCACCTGGAAAATGGAGTACAGTCAAGCGCCGTTGTCATAGCATGCACAGGAAGAAAGTGAAGAATGGTTAAAATGCAGAAAGGATTCTAAGTCCTGCGTATTTGGCATCCCCTCCTTGTGAAAATAACTTCTTCCTCCCAAGAAATAATGATAAAATAACAGAGCATACTGGCGCAGATAGCCTAGTATCTTGAACTGCCTTAAACTTGAGAAGAATCTCAAGCATTTGTAAACCACTCAGTACCAACAATTTCTCATCTGCAACATTGGAGCATTGCAGAGATTGTGCATTAATAAGAAGGGCAAAGCAAAACCAACCTCATGCAGCATGCTCCTTGCATTATCAGACATCTTGTCAAATTCATCAATACAGCAGATGCCTCTGTCACTCAGTACAAGGGCTCCACTTTCCAGAACCTGAAGGTTATATCATAAGTGAGAATCAACCACCAAATTCAAATATTCCAGATAAATATATAGATAAGAAAGAGTAAGAAAAACATATCATACAGTTTCCCCTGTTTCAGGATCCTTGGTGACATAAGCAGTCAAGCCTACAGCAGAACTCCCCCTTCCACTGGTGTAAATGCCACGTGGAGAAAGCTTGTGTATGTACTGAAGTAGCTGGGACTTGCTGGTTCCAGGATCACCAACAAGAAGGATATTGATGTCACCACGGAAGCTAGCACCAGATGGTAACTTCAAAGCATTCCCACCAAAAAGCTACATTGACAACAAATAACTAGCAATTACTATCTAAGCAAAAAAGAATGGTGTAATACTGCAAACAAGGCATATAGGGGATCATAAGTTACCCTATCATTTTACCTGGCAAAGAAGACCTTTCTTTACATCATCCAGCTCCCAGATGTTTGGCGCCAATGACCTTGTCAATCTTTCATATATATCTGGTTGTTTGGATAGCTCTTTCAACTCTTCCACCTACAATTTTGAAAAAGGCTATGGTAGAAGAATAAAATATAAATGAATTTTGCAAGGGAAGAATTGGCGTTATATTAGACCTTGTCTTCATCCAACTGGACGTCATCCTCAATCCTCTGTGATTGTGAGCCGTTATCAACTTCCATAGGATCCTCAGCCATCATTCTTGACTTATCAGTTTTCTTTATATGAAGACAATCAATGTATGTCTACAAGCAAAGGAAACAAAATCATTATACTCAAACCAAAACTTAATTGAAACGCTTGGAGAGCTACAGATCTAAAGAAGAAGAGAACACGAACCTTGAACAATGATTTCACAGTTCTTTGTGTCGGCCCAACTCTGACACTCATAGCCCTGTAAATCCCGGTGACCTATTTCAATAGAAGAAACGAGAACATTGAGCAAACAATTAAAACTGCCAGGATCCTACTTGATTTTACAGAACATGATATCATCAGGGTCTAACCTCAACCCTGTCCCCAGGTTTTCCAGCATCGACCAGCTTGTCATGCATCAACAAGCTCACTGTGTGTGGTGTCCCTCCTTCAGGGATCTCATCTGGTGTCTCCTGGAGCCTCACAATCTGCTTATCAGCAAACCTGATGTTTGGGCAATATGACCAATTAATTTTTCGTCTTAAAATAACCCAAAGCATAAACATTGAATTTCTAAGTCACCAAACTTACTTACAACATAAACAGGCTCAAGTTGAAATGAACTCAAAAATGCATATGCTATCTACAACCTACTTA